GCGTTATGGTGGACTCAAGAGGTGGATGTGGATGTCAGATCAAAAAATAGTAACTTACTTAAGTGTCTTATTTCTGCCAATGGCCATACCTGGTTGGCAACTTTCCTTTATGCTCCTCCTAGGGAACATATCCGCCGTGAGTTCTGGGACTTGATTAGGAATATAGCCAAGGTTAACCATCTTCCATGGCTTTGTATCGGGGATTTTAATGAGGTCGGAGCCTATTGGGAAAAAGTGGGAGGGTCAAGTCCGAACATTCAACGGATTTTGGGATTTCAGCAAGTGCTCCAGGACTGCGCTCTAATGGACCTAGGATTTAAAGGGTCTGGATTCACATGGTCAAACAATCAAGCAGGCCAACACAATGTGAGGGAGAGACTGGACCGAGCCGTTGCCACGGTCAAGTGGAGAGAGTGTTTTCCTTGTGCCCAGGTTTTCCATGAGGTCATCCTCGGTTCGGATCACTGCCCTCTCATTCTCAATTTATGCCGTCCTCTAAAAAAAGTTGCCCGGTTATTTAAGTTCGAATCTATGTGGACTACTTCTCCAAGCTGCTTCGATGTAATTTCTACCAAATGGGAGGAGTTTGGTTCAGGCTCACCGATGTTCAGGTTGGTTCAAAAGCTGAAAGGGTGCAGACTAGCTCTAAAATCTTGGAGTCGGAGGGAATTTGGGGATAATCGTATTAAGCTTGAGGGCCTAAAGAATACTCTTTTACATATCCAATCCCAAGAATGGTCGGAGGATAATGTGCAGGCCCAGCGTCAAGTAAAACAAGCTATTGCCGATGTGATGCTTCATGAAGAGATGTTTCTACATCAAAGATCGAGGGTTCGGTGGCTTCAATATGGGGACCAAAACTCGGCATTTTTCCATGCGTCAATTATTCAACGTCGCCAACAAAATCAGATGATAAAATTGCTTCGGGAAGATGGACGGTGGCTTACGTCTGAATCTGAAATTAACTCCCATCTGTATGACTATTTCTTTAGCCTCTTCTCGAGCTTACCTCCCCGAAACTTTGACTCAGTTCTGTCGGTGGTGCATTGTGTTATTACAGCGGACATGAATACCTCCCTCACCCGTCCTGTGACCCGAACTGAGATTAAATCTACAGCTTTCCATCTGGGAGCCTTGAAAGCTCCAGGGCTTGATGGGTATTCTGGCATCTTTTTTCAAAGGTACTGGGAGGTGGTGGAGGAGGATGTCTGCAATGCGGTCCAATATTTTTTTGTGAACGGGTTTCTCTTAAAAGAACTGAACCAGACAAATCTTGTGCTTATTCCAAAGGTTCCAAATCCAGAAAAGCTCTCTCAATACCGACCCATCAGCTTGTGTAACTTCGTCCTAAAAATCATTACCAAGATCTTGGCGAATCGGCTCAAGGTTGTGTTACAACAAGTCATCTCTCCACATCAATCTGCTTTTGTCCCGGGACGGGTTATACAAGACAACATCTTGGTTGCTCATGAAGCTTTTCATCACCTAAAGTTAAAGAAAAAAGGGGCAGTGCATGAAATGGCTTTTAAACTGGATTTCAACAAAGCGTATGACCGGATACAATGGGATTTTCTGAAGGCTCTCTTGCTTAAGATGGGATTTTGTCCGATTTGGGTCCAATGGATTATGGAATCAGTGTGTACAGTGTCCTTTTCTATCTTCGTCAACGGGGAGCGACGGGCCTCCTTTATTCCGGAGCGAGGGTTACGGCAGGGTGACCCTCTTTCTCCTTATTTGTTTGTTTTGGTGGCGGATGTCTTATCTCTTATGATCTCGCGAAGCATCTATGCGAATCACTTGGAAGGTATCAGACTTAGGAGGGGTTGTCCCATTCTCTCTCACCTCTTCTTTGCTGATGATGTCCTTATTTTTTCTTCTGCCAATGCTTCTCAAAGTCTAGCCCTGAAGGCTATTCTTGATGAGTATTGTAGTGCCACGGGTCAGCTTGTTAGTTTTGACAAATCCAGCATCACTTTCTCTGCTAACACCCCTATGTCAGTCCAAAACGACATCTGCACATCCATGGGCGTTTCATTGACTAGCAAGGATTCGAAATATTTGGGGGTTCCTTCCCTTTGGGGGAGATCCAAGTCAGCTGCTTTTGGCTTTTTAATGGAAAAGGCGATTCAAAAAATGCAAGGTTGGAAGCGTACTCTCTTATCACAGGCGGGGAGAGAAGTTCTTATCAAATCCGTTGTCCAAGCAATCCCGGCTTATGCAATGGCGTGTTTTGCCTTCCCAAAGAAATTTTGCGACCAACTCAATGCCCATTTGAGCCGATTTTGGTGGGGAGGTGATCCAGATAATCGAGGTATACATTGGCTAAGTTGGGACTCTCTGACTCTGGCCAAATCAAAGGGAGGATTGGGATTCCGGGATTTCAAGGCCTTTAATATTGCTCTCTTGGCTCGTCAAGCTTGGCGTTTGTTGAAATACCCAAACTCATATTGTGCTAAAATTTTAAAAGGAGTTTACTACCCACACTCGGATATCCTGCATGCGGTCAAAGGTCGGAGTGCATCGTGGGCCTGGTCAAGCTTGCTTCAAGGGCAAGACTTACTGATCAAGGGGGTCCGTTGGCAGGTAGGGAACGGCGATTCTATCAACTTTTGGGAGGACAATTGGATCCCTAGTAACCCAAACTTTAAACTCATCTCAAGGCCTGCTCCTCACTGTCAAATTTCAAAGGTGCGGGACGTGATTAAGCCACATACCAAAGAATGGGATCTTGATAGGTTGCGAGTTCTAGTGTCCAAGGAGGAGCTTCTGAAAATCATATCTATTCCCATCTCTCACGAAAACCAAGCAGACTCCCTCATTTAGCACTTCACAACTAAAGGTAACTATGAAGTTCGAAGTGGTTATCAAGTGGCTATTGAGGATCATCTTGGTAAAAGCACATCAAGGGCCTCCTCTTTTTTTCTTATTCCAGAGAAGATGTGGAAGTTGATTTGGTCCTTACAAATTCCTCCCAAGATCCGTCAATTCTGGTGGAGAGTATGCAGTAACAGGATTGCCTCAAAAGAAAATTTGTTCCGTAGGAAATGTGCATCTTCTCAAGAGTGCCCCATCTGTGGGAGCAAGGTTGAGTCTATTGAACATATACTCTTTCAATGCCCTTGGACAAGAGGTGTGTGGTTTGGAAGTGACCTGGGGTTCAAAGCTGACCTGCAATCCTTTGGTTCGGTGGCAGAGTGGGTTGTTAGGCTGATGAGTTTTTGTCCCAACAATGAACATCGCAGATTTTTGGTGGGTAAAGTGGCAATTATCTGCTGGGAAATTTGGAAGGGTAGAAATGAGTTTATCTTCAACCACCAACCTACAAATCCGTCGCTTACGTTGAGTCTCAATACCGACCCATCAGCTTGTGTAACTTCGTCCTAAAAATCATTACCAAGATCTTGGCGAATCGGCTCAAGGGTGTGTTACAACAAGTCATCTCTCCACATCAATCAGCTTTTGTCCCGGGACGGGTTATACAAGACAACATCTTGGTTGCTCATGAAGCTTTTCATCACCTAAAGTTAAAGAAAAAAGGGGCAGTGCATGAAATGGCCCTTAAACTGGATTTCAACAAAGCGTATGACCGGATACAATGGGATTTTCTGAAGGCTCTCTTGCTTAAGATGGGATTTTGTCCGATTTGGGTCCAATGGAATATGGAATTAGTGTGTACAATGTCCTTTTCAATCTTCGTCAATGGGGAGCGACGGGCCTCATTTATTCCGGAGCGAGGGTTACGGCAGGGTGACCCTCTTTCTCCTTATTTGTTTGTTTTGGTGGCGGATGTCTTATCTCTTATGATCTCGCGCAGCATCTATGAGAATCACTTGGATGGTATCAGACTTAGGAGGGGTTGTCCCATTCTCTTTCACCTCTTCTTTGCTGATGATGTCCTTATTTTTTCTACTGCCAATGCTTCTCAAAGTCTAGCCCTGAAGGCTATTCTTGATGATTATTGTAGTGCCACGGGTCAGCTTGTTAGTTTTGACAAATCCAGCATCATTTTCTCTGCTAACACCCCTATGTCAGTCCAAAACGACATCTGCACATCCATGGGCATTTCATTGACTAGCAAGGAATCGAAATATTTGGGGGTTCCTTCCTTTTGGGGGAGATCCAAGTCAGTTGCTTTTGGCTTTTTAGTGGAAAAGGCGATTCAAAAAATGCAAGGTTGGAAGCGTACTCTCTTATCACAGGCGGGGAGAGAAGTTCTTATCAAATCCGTTGTCCAAGCAATCCCGGCTTATGCAATGGCGTGTTTTGCCTTCCCAAAGAAATTTTGCGACCAACTCAATGCCCATTTGAGTCGATTTTGGTGGGGAGGTGATCCAGATAATCGAGGTATACATTGGCTTAGTTGGGACTCTATGACTATGGCCAAATCAAAGGGAGGATTGGGATTCCGGGATTTCAAGGCCTTTAATATTGCTCTCTTGGCTCGTCAAGCTTGGCGTTTATTGAAATACCCAAACTCATATTGTGCTAAAATTTTAAAAGGAGTTTACTACCCACACTCGGATATCTTGCACGCAGTCAAAGGTCGAAGTGCATCGTGGGCCTGGTCAAGCTTGCTTCAAGGGCGAGACTTACTGATCAAGGGGGTTCGTTGGCAGGTAGGGAATGGCGATTCTATCAACTTTTGGGAGGACAATTGGATCCCCAGTAACCCAAACTTTAAACTAATCTCAAGGCCTGCTCCTCACTGTCAAATTTCAAAGGTGCGGGACGTGATTAAGCCACATACCAAAGAATGGGATCTTGATAGGTTGCGAGTTCTAGTGTCCAAGGAGGAGCTTATATTTCAATTATTGGGAGCATATTTTTTCTTTTTCTTGTTTTCTTATTTTTCTTCTCACACGCGTAGCGTACTTTTCCTATCAATTCGTGCACATTTTCGGTCAGATGGAATTGGTATAACAACCTTCTTTCCCTCTTTCCATAGCTGTGAAAAGTCATAAAAACTGTCCTAGGGAGAGAAAATCTCAACCACACAAATATATTTGTGATAAACTATGAATTGATTAGGATTCTTAACATTTTTGTTATTTCACATGAAACTGACATATATACCCAAGTAAAACACACACTACCAGAAAGATTCAAACATCAAGTCAAACATATGCATTAACAATTGATGGTGATTTCCGGGCTATAGGTTGCAAGTAATATTATAGCCTAACAAGTGATTGCAAATTTTATGGCCTTAACAAGCTTCGAGACCACTAGCAAACAGAGAAGCAAAAGCTTCTGTTTCATGTTTCTTTAACACTATCCCAATCTCAAGCCCACCATTACCATCTCTGCAATCTGAAAGAGAGAAAGCTCCACTTTTATCAATTGATGTCATCTCCACCTTCCTTGGTCTCCCCCACCCGAAATCAGTGTTGTACAACTCAAAGCGAGGTGAGCCTCCGATGGTAAATAACCTATCCTTGTCTATAGAAAACAATTTAGACACTTGAAACTCTTTTACAGCTTCTTCTTTCAAACTTTCTATAGCTTCACCAATTGCTTTAACTGCTGTGGCCACCCCATCTTCTCCTATTAAATCGTTTGAATCTGCATTTATTTGTTGACCCGAAAGGCAATTCCCAAAATAAGTTGAAGGGAGAGGGGGTTCCAAGCGAGCCCTGCAATCAACACTGAATCCGAGATGAACTTTCCCTGTGCTTATTTTTTTGGCTTTAACTAGGCAAACCCATACATATGCACTTGTTATTGTAAAGCTTGATACATGAATTGCTGGTTCTCGTTTTTGCTTCTCTTGCCACTGGTTCTTAACCCTCCTTTTCATATTCTCTATGTCTGCCCGTGTCAATTGGAATGTGCCGAGCATTGTATCAGTTGGAGCATTCATGTCCCATATCATGAGGCTTTTGTTGTTGGGTCCATTAAGCTCAAACAAGAAGTTTATGTAAGTTTTCTCATGATCATCGGGGTCTTTAATCGAAGTCCTGTCATAGAATGGAGTTTCTTCCTCTGTTAAAGTTGAGTCTCCGCCGCGCCTACAAATGGAAGCCCATGAATGCATAAACAGAGCTGTAGTTTTTCCGTCAAGTACTGCATGGTGTGCGGCGTAACCGATTGAAAACCCTTTGTTTGGAAACAAAGTAATTTGCAATGTCATCAACGGCGCTTGTGTGTCAGAAGATATGAATAGGGGTAAAAAAGGATGTATTTCTTTAACTTTGCGAAAGCTGTTGCTGGAGAGATGGTAGAAATCAGCTTCAGACTCGGCTATGGTAAGAGAAACTGCATCATCACCTTCAATGTTGTAAGATTTATGTATAAAGAAAGAGAAAGAATTGTGTATTGAAATGTTTATGTATTGAATGTTGTTGATGGATTAATATTACAAAGGTTCAGTTGAACTCCTCTATATAGGAGAGGAGCCGAAAGAGGCACTAATAAAGTAAAGTAAAAGGAAAAGAAATATACCCTACATAGAATAATATACTAACAAATGTATTGGATGATTGGTTTATAGGAATTTGGGGGCCATGTCAGATTTCCAGCGAGCACAAGGTAGTGTTGGAGTGTGAGGGAGAGGGAATGCTTCAATTTAGGAAGAACAGAGTCCAAAAATGTAGTAGTTGGATGGGAGGCTTCGAAGAAGAATATGCGCTGAACGGGAGGGCATTTCACCCAGAAGAGGTCGAAGAATATAAGAGGAAGAGAGGTTGGGACGGCGGAGTCAGGTGAGATAGGCGGTGGAGCCACCCTGCAAACCTCATGCACCTTCACTGGATTTGGTGTTGCTTCCATGAGGGGTAAAACAGAGTGCAACGAAAGAGAGGAAATGAGTGGTGTTTGTGGAAACTTTCAATAGCTGATTGATTATATTTCTAGTGTTGTTAATTTTTATTCTAAGAAAAGCTACAACTACAGAATTATTTCACAAAATTGTTCTATGATGAGATACATACTCACCATTTGTGTCTCGTTTATAAATAATTCTGTGAATTGTAAATTGTTCTGTGTTTTTGTAGCACAATTCTTTTAATTTATCATTTTTTAGAAGTGACTTTCATCAATACGGTTATCTTATAGCCCTGTTTGATTGAAAAGGTTAATAATAGGAGGATTAATATTTATGTAAATTAGCATAGAATTGTGAATACTACACATCTCTCAATATTGAATATCGTATGTTTTTTTGGAATTGATTATTATTTAAATATCTAATTTGAATAAAAAATTACAATCAAACTGTAACATCCTATATATTAAAATTAATCTTAATTCTGTATTAGAATTAATTAACCATAATTTAAAATGTAATTATGCGTGTATAAAATCATAATAGAGTAGGTGGCAATATATGTGCAAGGTGTGTGTGTGGGGGGTGCATGTGTGCCGTGTGTGTGGTGTGTGAAATTAATGGGTTTGTTGTATAAATTGGCATTGAGTGAAAAAGACAAATGAAGTATAGAGTTTCGGCTTTTATCTTCGTATTCTCATCCTAACGCTCTTGCCACGCTTTACGACAAATCGGACCCCTATCCCTTGCTGTTTGCTAGCTCAATTGCTTAATGTGCTATAAAAAAACGAAAGCGATGGCTCGGTGCTCTTCACTCGGACCAAACCACTTACCTGTCGTTTCTTAATTATTAGGAATAATCTAGATGTAAATGATTTATTGTCTGTGTGTACATCAATGGCGTGTGTATGTTAAATTTTTAAGTCTCGTGAATCACATGATAGATTCGAGCTTGGCGTAGTTCCTTCCCCTAAATTGATTTTTGATTTGTTAGCTTCTTTTGCCTTCTTTTTCTTTTTTTGTCTTTTTTCCTTTGTGTTGCCCCTCTCTTCACTATCTTCCTTATGGTTATGTCTAATTTTACCCTTTTTTCTTAGATTTGAGTGCTGTTTAGGCTGTGTGATTCATGTGTTCTATTTTAATAATTTAAATAATTCATTTTATAAGAATTTATCTAATTAGTCACAAAAAAAAATTAAGTCAACTCCGATAATTCTAAACTATTTAATTATGTAATAAATAATACTTTTCATCTACCTAAGTTTTTTTTATGTAACATCTTCTAATAACATGTGAATGTAGCAAATACTAAATTTGTACAATTTTATGAATATGTTCAAGCGGTTTCATTCATTGTACAAGGGTAATGAAAACAATTGCCCTTCGCTTTTAATTTATTTTTATTATATTTTGTACACAGTAAAATTAGTTAGGTTGACATAACTGAACAACAACACTATACAAGTTCAAATCTCTGAAAACCTTTTCTACGCTCTACACCTTTTGGTTTTCGTCTTGCGAACAAAGTCATAAAAGACCAGCTAATTTTTCTCTGGCCACTGTTTGGGAGAGAGAGTTAGGTTAAAATAACTTATTAAAAAATAAAATAAATTAAAATAATTAATAAGATAAAATTTTACATTCAACAAATAATTATTTTACTTTTTCTCTAGTAATCATCAAATCAACTACAATAAAAAAAATCAACCAACTTCCTACCCACAACTTTTTTAATTAGATTAAAATAATTAAAAAATCAAATAATCAATTAAAAAACTCAAAAGTCAAATAACTAATTAAAATATCAACTTTTCAAACAAGACCTGCCACCAACTCGGATTTGCTCTTGAGAACTAACATAGTAACTTCCTGAATTTTTTTTAGATTGGAACTTTTTGATTAAAGACACCAGATTCAGATCCCAAAGATAGCATAGTATATTCTTACAATGCGTGGGCTATATTCATTTTACAGAAAAGGCTCAGACTCCCTTTGGAAGTCACCCCCGACCTCTTTTGCCTTTTAATTGGTTAATTTTTTTTTTTTTTTCTTCTCCCCCACTCATCAACCCTCACGCGTGTGTGAAGGTGGTGGGGGTGAGAATCTGAGGGAGTCTTAATCACGGCTGTTCATTTTAAATGTGGATCAAATCTCATGAAATTTTGTTTTTTGAATTTACACCATAAATTGCAATTTATGGACAGCATTATTATTATTAATTTTTTTTTTTAGGCAAGGGGGAATGAGGTCCTTTTGTCTCGCCAAATTTATTTCCCTATCCTAAAACACTACAATAGTGCTGCATGCACCAATTAGTATATTAATTAGTGTACTAATACATGCTATAATGTTGCCACTTCAAAACTATAGACCCCACTCATTATACAAACTACAAATGCTTAAAGTTTTTAAGATTATGTTACATCATCTGTTAGTACACTAATTGGTAAATCAATTAGTGCGTATAGCTTTATTCAAAACCCTAACAGTTAATGGCAATACGTATTTTGGAAGAAATGATAAAAAGATTGAAGAATTACAGATCGAACCTGGCTCCATTCCAGTTACTGGATAGGGCAGTTCGGCTTTGGTATGCTCTAATTCAGACTGATGTTGATAATTCAAATCATTTAATGTGTAGAATCTGTCGATTATATCATTCTTGCAAAAAATGACGCTAATTGGATATCGATAACCACTTGATCAGATTGCATTTATGTCGTAATTTACTTCAAAAATTATATTTGAAAATGTGATCTGATCAAGTGGTTATCGATATCCAATTATATTTTAAAATTACAAGGGGAGTATAACGTAATTTTTAAAATTACAAGGGGTGAATTATATTTTAAGAAAACCTCAGAAAATATATTTATAATTTACCCTCAATATTAATAATTAATATTTTAAATTTTCTCACCCATATGTTAACTTTTCACTAAGGAGTAATTTCCCCAAAAAGATTTGAAAAAAGAATATCCTTGGTCAAGTGTCACGGGTTGCCTTACAAGGTCAGCTCCATGACGTTTTGCTCATGGGAGTGTGACCATTTGAGTGCTCAAGAGTGGCCCTTAGAAGTGCCTAGGTGATGGGCATCAAGATTCCAAGTCAATGGTTCGGTGCCTCAACGTGGCCCCAAGATTGGCCCCAAGCAGCTTAAGGCATACAGGCCACCATGCAACCAATAACATGCCCAAGTAACAAGACTATAGCCCAAGTTGCAGCACAGGCCACGACTCAGGCTGCAACCCAGCCGTAGCAAGACCGCAGCCTAGGCCAGCAGCTAGTTGCAAATAGGCCTCAAATAGGTCGCGGCTTAGGTTGCAGCCCAAGTCGCCTACCAATCTCGCCAGCCACGGGCCACGGCCCAGCAGAACATAGCAACATCCAACAGTGTAGAGTTTTGGCACGTTGTTTGGGCATCCAAATGAAGGAGTTTTAGGCTAAAATTTTTTCTGGAAAAACCTCTTGGGAGAAGTGTTTTCCCAACCAAGTTTCATGATATTTCTCAATTTGTGAAATTTTTGAAAAATCATTATGACTCCTCGGACATAAGGCATGTTTTCTGCTGCTAGTTTGTCAAAAGCTTAACAAGCATATATAAGAAGGCATGGTGTGCTACCTACCTGCCTCCCCACCCAAACTGAACTTGAAGTGAGCAACCTTGGGGCAACTCAAGGGCAGGCTTTAGAGTCTCTACGTGGGTTTGGAAGCCCTGTGGACGGTGCAAAAATGTAAGCACTGTGCGTGCCTCTCGGGCACGAGATTTAATACGTTGTTTCCATTATGCCAAGCAGTATGGCATCTTGGGGACTCGTTTTAAACCGAATGGGCTATCGAGACACCACCAAAGGCCTTGTGTGCAAACTCAAGTGCTTGGTTTGGGTGCAATGTTGCACGTGGAGATTCTGTGGCTTAAGCCAAGCGATTGGAAAGAAACACCGCATATGTAGACTATTGAATGAAAGCATCAAGCTATGCATTGACTAAATCCATTGAGGGATGACATTATGCTACAAGCAAGCTATGGATTGAGATGTTGCCTTACTCGAGCGACACGTTGGTGCAACGCTAAGGTGCACAATGGCCTTAGGCGAAATCTAACACCCGTGTTGGCACGAGGACTACACCGTGGGCAAGAGATTGATCATCGGTGTCTTGTGAGCTTTGCATGACCATGTGGCCATACTTGACCCTATGAGACATGCTTGACCCTATGACACTTCGAGATGCTGTCAAAGACCCAACACGCTATATTAGCTTGTCGGCTAAGTCGAGTGTCTTTGCTAGCACATTATTGTGTGGCTAGGCACCTTGATGACATGAACCTAATTTGGGCTAGTACCTTGCTTGTGATAAGCTTGGCGCTATAAGGCGCCTTATGCCGTGCTTGAAGCACTTGAGGTGTCAGGCCTACTTGTGGCATTCGGGTGAAGATAGAGCTTCCTTGTGGAGTTATTCTGCTTGACAAAGCATTGGGCCCTAATGTTCAAAATGGGTGAGATCATTAACATTCGATTTGTCAATGAGCTATGGCGGAATTAAACTTGGTGGAGTTTGAGTGCCACACAAACAAAAAATTGAACCGCTATGCCTCTAAAGGAGTCATCCCTTGACACCAAGCAAGGGTACATAAAGCTTTGGATAAGAATGTAGGAGGAGGAATTTATAGAATTTTCTTGACAACACATCAAGGTCATTGAAGAAGATTTATAACACCATTATTCCACATGAAGCTGGTAAAAATAAATACACACAAACAAAACACACACAATAGTGAGAAAAAGATACAAACATCAAATCAAAAATATGCACTAACAAATGATGATGACTGCCTCAAGGACGTACAAAAGTTTAATGAACTTCGAGACCACTAGCAAACAGAGAAGTAAAAGCTTCAGTCTCATGTTTCTTCAAAACTATCCCAATCTCAAGCCCACCATTACCATCTCTGCAATCTGAAAGAGAGAAAGCTCCACTTTTATCCATTGATGTCATCTCCACCTTTCTCGGTCTCCCCCATCCAAAATCAGTGTTGTATAGCTCAAAGCGAGGTGAGCCTCCGATGGAAAATAATCTATTCCTGTCTATAGAAAGCATTTTAGAAAATTGAACCTTTTTTACAGCTCCATCTTTCAAACCTTCTATAGCTTCACATATTGCTTTAACTGCCGTGGTCACTCCATCTTCTCCTATTAAGTCATTTGAATCTTCATCCACGAGATGGCTTGTAACGCAGTTCCCAAAATAAGTTGAAGGGATAGGGGGTTCCAAGCGAGCCCTGCAATCCACACTGAATCCGAGATGAACTTTCCCTGTACTTATTTGTTTGGCTTTAACTAGGCAAACCCAT